TTGCACAGAATAGTAAAAGCTCCTCTAATTGGCATTGCAGATGGCGGGTGTAAACATTTTCCAGTGTCTTAGCTTGGAAATGAGAGAAGAATGGCAAAAAGTAACATGACATCCAGACGTGGAACAACTAATCTGAGACAAAACTAGCTTTGAATGTGGAACGGGAGAGTCTGTTGTGAGTTAGATATGGGCGGGTTGATACCCAAATGCAAAACTGACAGCTATTGAAAATTATCAGTTCTTATTCAAAAATGAATACTTAAAATGTCTTGCCATTTTTCAATCAAATTGCATTGGTGTTTTGTAATCCATTTTTGTTAAGATGCAAATTTTAATTGAAATTTTCAATCTGAGTTGGAGCTAAGATAATGCCAAATTATGCCAAGCTAAAATTGATCATAGTAGGAAAGGAGTTTTAGTGCATTTTAATACAAAACATTATTAAGTTATCTTATCAATTTCTCGACACATATAATAATATTTAGGGACGGGCTGATATGGGTTTTCTGAGCTGATACAAATATCTGATATTTTGCTGTTGCTATGGTCTATAACCAATGTTTGCCGATACTGATATTTTTGCTTTTAAATCTATAGAGACCCACAAATTTATCTTAAGTTAAAGTAAAGATCACAGATTCACTTTTCATTTTGTAAAAATAATAACAAAATATATTTTACAGAGATATAAAATTATTTGATACAAGTTTGTGTAAACATACAAGCATATAACTCTTCCATTTCCATTTTTAGCCATTAGTCTGTTCAAAAAGGGCACAAAGAATGGGGCAATGGGAAAAAAATCTACATATTATATCAGTACAGAGCACAGATATGCTGTTACTGTCTATACTGTTACTGATATATCACTCATTTCAAATAATATACTGTAACTTGGCATCATGCATGTAAATCTTAATGTATAGAATTAACTATATTGTATTAATCGCTTATTTTAGTAAAAAATCCACACTGTAAATCCAATTTCCAAATCAGACAAAAACAGGACAGCAGGACAGGATACAGACACACAGTAATAAATGGTTTGAGCCCGGTTGATAAAACAGCAGTCACTCTGGTTGTTCTGATAAGAGAGATTCACCGCCACATAGATCTCAAAGCAGCACATGTAGCACAGCGCTGAATACAGAAGTCTATTGCTCCAGACTTTATCAGGTAGGCCCATGTAAACACCGTGTTGTCACCAAAGCACTTGTTTACAACTCTTTGCCCTTCTCGCTGGCTTGTTTTAGATGAGAAAATACTGTCTGAAACTGTAAACATTCTTATTCACAAGGTATTCCTCAGACTCTTGTGTCTATCAGTGTGCTCCCAGTTGTGCTTCTACTGTAAATTCACTAACAGTCTCATTATGCACCTTTGTACACATGGCTTCCACTGCCTGGTGCCATGAAATAGAGGACCATGTGTGGAGCATAACAATATCCAGCAGCTCAGGGTGGGAGCCTGTTCAATTTGCATTTGCACAATACGCCAGTGGGAATTAAAAATGGTCATTACTCTTGTTAGGCATGGGGCCAATTTGTTTAAATGTAAAAAAGGGCTCAAAATTACGCTTGGCAAATGTAAAAATGCAGGAGTTTTCCAACAGAATAGAACAAAATGAAAAATTAAAATATGTTAACTCCCTTCACTGTGTCAAAACGTTGAAGTACAAAACATTGTTATGTAAAATACTAAATCTTTGGTGTTTCTACAAGTCACAAAGAATAACTCATATTCCTCTTTAGTTTTTTAAAGGTGTAGTATGGAACTTTTATTTGCAAATCGCTCGTCTCTGTGGAAATGTTATAGTTTTGCCAATATTGTTCCACAGTATAGCAATAAACTCACCTAGTATTATTCATTTCACAAATTAGTGAGCAGGGATTGCCTCTTCACAGATTTGACCTGTGACTCAACCCGGTTGTGCCACCAGCTTTTCGCATTTGAGATAGACATGTTTAATGCCATACTGTGAAACATTACAGGGAAAGTAAAAACAGCAATATCATGGAAACAAGCAGATGAGAAAGTAGAAAAAGTTACATAGCGCACGTTTAATGCTGGGGCTGAAATAGTTCCCTCAGACTATTTCCTGATGGAGATTTACAAACATTTCCCTAATATCCCTATGACCCACGCCCTCCCCTCCCTGTACCTCCTCACACCCCCCAGACCTCCCATAGCCCTCCTCCCTCCCTTGGCCTCTCAGCTCTGCAGCTTTGAGTTTGGAATGATTTCATGTCTTGGAAGCTTCACCAAACAATTTCTGTGAACAGCCCCGGAGCCCTGAGCCAAAGTGAGCACAGATCGAGCGCATAATGAGGTTTGGGGTGAAGACAAAACATTTACAATATTTACCATACGTTTTTACATTATCAGTGAATGCAACTATTTAGTAGTTTTAACATTATCATTTTCACCTAGTTTAGGCCTTTCAAAATACATTGGTAAACTGTACTTTTCAACTGCATACAGCTGTACAAATGTAGGTTTAGCTCGCTTAAAGGGACGTAGAGAGTTTCCCACATAGGCTAGCCAAATGCGACTCCAACATAAATAAGAGAAAGAAAATGAAAAGCAGTAATTAAAAATTCATACTTCAAAATAGTAAAAAGCAAAATTGAAGTCATTGTACTGGCTGTCATTTGTTCAGAACATTTTTTCTTTAAATACCAGACGCCACTTTTCACAAGTTTGACAAGTGACAATGTGACTACTTTTACATAACAGAAAGAAATTAAAGAAGCAAATGTGCTTTCTTTGTCCCATCCAAGTTCCCCATGCTTAAGAAAAATCTGGCAGTACTTGTATTATCTATTCCTGTGAGCGAGCATGTTATGGGCCTGTACTCGCATTGGCACTGGAACATGGAGTAAGTCAGGCCAGCTCGATAAATCCTTTAGTCTCTGTGTAGTTTCATCTATTATTTATACAGTAATTAAAGGTCTGCTCTGGATAACTGATTCTCTCTGTCCATGCTAATCTATGGAGGTCCACTTTCAAACCATGGATCACAATGAACACAATGAACACCTTCTTTGGTGGTGAAAAAAATCGGTCACGAAAAAGTATTTTTAACGCAAAAAGTTGGAATAAATAAAAACAAGACATTTTGTGTGGAGCAGGGCCACCACCTCAACAAGAAGAAAAAAGAGGAACACCTTGTTGTATGCGTTTTTTGTTTTTATCAATTCCAACACAGAGAGAGAATGGAATAGCAATGAGAGTTAACATCTTGGCATCTTTGATCTTGGGTCAGAATTTTTTTACTGCAACTTTTACAGTTTGACATTAGACTGAAAATACAGTATATGTGTTGAATATTATTTCAAAATGTAATTCTGAAAACGTTATAGGTCTTTATTAAAGACTTACATGAACTAGCATATTCACCTTTCGTCCCATATTGTTCTGTCACTGTCTGAGGAAAGCTCTGCTCCACTTGTCTCTAAGCAACAACCTCCTGAGCACCCTTCCTTCAGCATTTATCCCCTGTCTGCAGCCCCGAGGCACTGTGATTGGCTGTCATCTCTTGCACCACCCTACTGTCTTTTTCTAGATTGATAGCCAAGTTCAATTTCAAGGTTTTTTCTTAGAAATAAAACAGATTATTCCAAGCTCTGACAACATGTTTTGTTCCATTTGGCTTTCTTGTTTTAACCCAAGCTAGTAGCAACGGAAATTCATCATAGCTTTTCAGCCAGGTGTCCTTACAAACACAACTCTCATTTATGTATCTTTATGAGACTGGTTACAAGTTACAAAAATAGCCAACAGGAAAGGACAGTGAAAGTGGTTAGCTTTCTTGCCTCTCAGTGTTCTCCAGTAAATGATTAGTAAATGATTCAGTACAGTCCATGATGTCTCTGGCTCATATTTGGGACAGAAAAATAAGGGAAAGTTGGAAAAAAAAAAAAAAGATACATGATTGGGAGAGGGAGAGCTCAATAATCCTAGAGGGCACGATTTTCACACCATTTAAGTAAGTTTCATGGAATTAGGAGACATTTACCCAGTCAGCAGGTTGTGTCAGTGCGGGCTGGACTGCACCCAGCGCTCAGCATCAGCACCACCAGATGAAAAATTACAATGAAGACTTTCCAACTAAAGAAACTGCCAGCACATCAGAACAAATCATTCAGTGGTAGTATAGGCGTCCAAAACTGATAATAGGTCTATTTTAGATTACTCTAAACTATAACAAACATGTCTATGCATATTGTGAGAGGTTGCTAGAGCCTATATCCAGCAAGTATGAGCATTAAAGGTGCACTGCTTAACATTTCTTGGATAGGGTACACCACATGGTAGTCTCCATGTAGATGACCTTAACTGATCAGCCTGGAATGTTTCACAGTAAGGCATTAAACTAATCTAGGCAGGTACCGATCAGTTTGATGGAGAGGTATTTAAAGGTATTTATGAATAATAAAATCACCTCTAATGACACAAAAGCTGAATAGACTTTTAATGTCATACTGTGGAACATAGCAAGCAAAGCAATACCATATGCCTAAAGAAAAGAAATGTGGCGTATCCTCCACCAAAAAAGTTACACAATACACAGTGCAGTATATATTAAGGATGTACCAATACAGCTTTCCCAGTTCTGATACCAATTTCCATACTGTAATAACTGCAATAACTGAATCAACCAACAATACAGTGACTGAAACAAAAATAAAAAATATGACAAAACTGATCTTTCTGGTCACTGCCCACGTTGGCAATGAGAGTGACAACCTGGAGAGGTATGGCCTCTGAACCCAAGCGGTATTTTGTGGTAGTCACAGCTTGTCCATAATGAACACCATGTTCAAGCACAAGGGTGCCCATCAGGGCATGTGGCACCAGGACACCCTAGGCCAGAGGTCGATGATTGACTTTATTGTCGTGTCATCTGACCTACAGTCAGGTGTCTTGGACACTCAAGTGAACTGATCTCCACCTGGTGGTGAGTTGAGTGCACTGGTGGAGGAGGAAGCCAGAAAGACCTGGCACCTCCAGGAGAGCTTCTCCCAGATCCCGAGGGAGGCTGGGGACATAGCGTCCGAGTGGGTTATGTTCTCGGCCTCTATTGTCAGTATGGTCGCTCATAGCTGTGGTCGTAAGGTCTGTGGTGCCTGTCACGAGGGCAGTGTCCAAACCTGGTGGTGGACCCTGGAAGTAAGGAATGCCGTCAGGCTGAAGAAGGAGTCCTATCAAGCCTCGTGGGAGCCTTTATGCACCTGGAGAAGGCATTCTACCATGTCCCAGTGCGTGTTGGACTCCACCAACATGCACTTTGTCACCGGAGCTTATGGACATAATTTCTAGGTGTAGCCAGGGGCCCGAGAGGGTCCTGTTTGGGGATCACAGGATGTCATCTCTGCTGTTTGCTGATGATGTTGTCCTGATGGCTCCATCGATCTAGGACCTACAGCATGCACTGGGGCGGTTTGCAGCTGAGTGTGAAGTGGCTAGGATGAGGATCAGCTCCTCCAAATCCGAGGCCATGGTTCATGACTGGAAAAAGGTGGTTTGCCCTCTGCAGGTGGGTGGAGAGGCCCTGCCACAAGTGGAGGAGTTCAAGTATCTCAAGGTCTTGTTCAAGAGTGAGGGTAGGATGGAGAATGAGATTGACAGGCGAATTGGTGTAATTGGTTTTACCAGTTTACCAGAAAATCTACATTCCTACCCTCACCTATGGTCATGAGCTTTGGGTAATAACTGAAAGGACAAGATTGTGGATACAAACGGGCCAAAATGAGTTTCCTCTGCAGAGTGGCTGGATGCTTCCTTAGAGATAGGGTGAGGAGCTCAGCCACACTGGAGGAGCTCAGACGAGAGCAGCTACTTATCCACATTGAGAGGAGCCAGGTGAGGTGGTATCATTCTGGATGCTTCCTGGAGAAATGTTTCTGGTATGCCCCACTGGAAGGAGGCCCCTCGCAAGTGTCTGGGGCAAAGGTCTCTGCTTAGATTGCTGCCCCCGAAACCCGGCCCCGGATAAATGGAAGAAAATTGATGGATGGGACATTTTGCAATTCATCCAACCAGCTTCTGGTCAAATTGCCGGTGGACATTGCCTTATATTTGCCTGGAGGGAGTAGTTAACTTTTGTCCATTTTTTTTTTTTTTACATGATTTAAATAATTCATTATCCTGCATCTCACTTTACTTTTTTTTTTTTTTGCACCGACGGTCATACATACCATGCCTTCCCCAGTCACAACCCAATATGTGCTGAAAGTAAACAGCTAAGCAAATCCAGCCCAGGGAGAGATCAGGGTAAATAATATTGTTTTTGGAGCTAATATTGGGAGAAAAGAAGAACGAGTATGGAGGTCCTGTGTTTCACTGCAGTGAATGAAAACCTGCAGCTCATAACAATACACTGTGGTCTTTCCTCGGCTTCCTCAGGTGGGAATGCCTTCATTTCCAAGCCCATTAAAATACCATCAGAGGAGCAAACAGAGGAGGACTGAGGAGCCAGGTTTATTGGCCAGTGCCTGTACAGGTGTCTAAGGGAGCGCTGGTCCACTATTGATTATTTCAATAACAAGCACGAGTGTTGGTACGTCCTAATGTGAGCCAATAACTTTAAGCATGTGATTGTAATTAGGCCAGTGATGTGCAGTAAAACGGAAAATTAAACCTTGGTATTGCTGTTTAGTTTAAAGACTGTGGTAGTAGTGTTAAAAAAAAAGAAATAGCCTAAATACTAATCATTATGTATCAACAACTTTTGCAAATAGTTTTATATGGTCTGGATTTATATAAGAATCAGATCATAATAATAAATAATTATTTTTTTTGTGTTTAAAATTACCATTTTTCACTAACATTGTCATATCAAAATCTGTATTAACAGTGGAGCCTTGTACAGATGAGGATAATAAGAATATGAAGTATAAAGGCCACATGAAGAGGGTTTTTAAGTTCACAGGAGGTGCGTCACTGAATAGGTAAAAGAACGCTGAGGTCGAAGCTGCCAAGTTTATACTTAGAGCAGGATCAATAATAATGTATAGATTTTGGGAAGCGCATAAGGTAAGTCAGAGCGATAATGATGCGGACAGAGGATATGGGCATATAATTGAATATAGCAAACTGTAAAATGGAACAGAGGTGGAAGAACTTTAAGCTGATTATAATGTTTACGTGTGTACAGCAGTATTTATATAGCACTACTGTTGGTATTACAGAACTACAGCTTGGGTCCTATAACATTATACAGACAAATGTATACAGTGCAATGGAGGTTTAAAATGCAAAACTGCAATTAATATACAGAAATAAGGGAATTACATTTTTAATTTATTTGGATTAATACGACCAATTTGTGGTTAACGGGAAGACAAAACAGAGGCATAAACACACACATAAGCTTCGTTCCACAGGATCCTCCTTGAGAAATGCCGTTGGAGCAATGTGTGGACGCCTTTCACTGGCAGCTGTAATTACTTTGATAAGCACAGTCCATCATGAGATGAAAGTGAAATGGATAGATAATCTTTACCTGCATATACCCTCAATTAAACTACTGGATTCCAATTAAGTGATGGTCTGAGGTAAGTAAATGCATTTGGCCTCATAATCTCCACGGACAGGTAAAGGTTTAGCCATTTAACATTAGTAATATGGACCACAGAGCACGCAATCTGTTCTTATCCAAAGATTTGATTTAATTAGCAACACTATTTCAGTATACTAGGAATTATAGGTAAAGAGTCCAAGTATTCTATGTTCTCCTATCATCTTGCACACACGCATATGCCTTCCTTATTTGCAGGTATAAACAAACAGCATCTCTACTCCACATATCACAGCTATGCGTTGTGTTATTTGCAAATGTAGCGGGAGACCCCATGTGTGAAATTGTCTTTGGTACATCATAAACAGAGTAACTAGTGCCACTGAGAAACAGCTGCAGTACGCCACTGTAGATAGTGTACAGTATTGGTGAGCAGGCCTCTATAATGAAATTATATAATGAAACTGTATTTTATTAGGACCATTTTCACTCATAATTAATTAAATTGTTGTGTGTAAATTACAACATAGAAAAGGGCAAACACAGCTAATGAGAAGTCAGATTTTCTTTTGAGTAATAAGGTATTGAAGGTAGCATTTTGTAGTCCTGCATCATATAATTATTACCAAGAAAATACTGTTTCCTGGTAATCGCCTGGATTAGATTAAATAAAAAAGAATAACAACTGTGGCTACTTTTTATGAATAATAACTGATCATTTTTAGTTATCATGCTATTTTCATTTATGCTTTTACTTTACCATACTTTTACTGTGATAGAAATTGCAACCAACACACCATTATGTATAATCTAATTAAAGAAATATGAAAATTGAATTCTTGAAATACTTAAAGGTAAACTATGTAACTTTTTTTGGTGGAGGGTCAGCCAGTTGTTTGTCTCAATAGAGATGTTACTGCTTTGCCTGGAATGGTCCATAGTATGGCAGTAAGGGTGCACTATGTAACTTCTAAGATGGAGGGTCCATTATTTCTTTGCCTGGAAAGTTCCACAGTAAGGCATTACACATATCTCCCTTGCATTTGTTCAATCACAGGTGTTGGATAGCTCAAAAATACCTTAAAACATGAGTTCTTAGCATATGCAGGCTTGCTTCTCCATAGATATGACTAATAATAATCTGTCTTCATTGTGGTTGCCATAGTTATTTCCATACAGTAGAATAATCAAGGCAAAACATTAATATCTCTATGGAGACAAGCAGGTGGCGGACCTTCTACCAGAAAAGTTACACAGTGCACCTTTAAGCAAATCTTTCTCCATGGAGACAAGCAGATGGCACCTGGCACAGTAAGAATTCACCTTAGGTATTTTTGAGAAATGATAAGATAGATCAGTTTAATGTCACACTGTGGGACATTTCAGGCAAAGCTATAAAATTTACATAGAGACAAGCAAGCTGTGAACCCCGCCTCAAAAAAGTCACATAGTGTGCCTTTAAAAACAACAGATAATGAGCAAATATAACGACTTTTTGGTGCTCTACTCCGACTTCATTCTAATATCCGAATGAATCATTATAGAATCATTATGGAAATGCTTGCAAACTCATGATCTTTACTGTGCCCTTCTGCATTCTCATAAAGATGATTTACAACCAATCTGGCAACCCAAGCCCATAACACTCATCCCTCCACTGACTCCACTGTTTTGTCAGCCTTAAACTCTGCCTCTGTGAGCTGCACAATATGTCCTGAATGACACTGGAACACAAACAGAGAGAGGGGATGATGCATACAAGTGCTCAGAACACAGCGTGCGGCGGATCTCTGTGCAAAATCCTTCAACTTGATGCAAAACATGAAAAACAGACTTGGATTTTCCCAGTAGTTCCAGCACCATCAAAACCACCAGTCATCCATTTTGCCCATTATGCCACATTCTCAATCAGCTCGCCTGCTAAAGTGTCCTTGAGAATAATACTGAATTCTCACAAGTGCTGTTGAGGCCCTCGTATCCATTTCATAAATCATAATAAAGTTAAATATTATGTCCTGGTGCAGTGATTAGAGGGGTTAAACATTGGTGTAGGCGATTAAAAGGAGTTACAGGTGCCACTTGTGTCCTCTCCTCTGACTCTGGGACAGTAGAAGAGGGGACTTACGGTGTGAAGGGCACAACGAGTATGATTGCCTCTGTAATTCCATAATCAATATTGCCTATTCCAGCCACATGCTCTGCTCTGTAGTGGGACAGTTCAAGGGATGATAAGCTTTTAAAAGTTTGGAGAGTCATTGGCCACTAAAAATTGGCAAAAACTGGCAACACACACTGAAAATCCTAAGATCACAATACGGACCTAGTCACATTAAGGCTGCCACACACTACAGAAGAATTTACCCGATTTGCTTCTCCCCGAGTTCGGAGAAGCGTGACCCAACTTTGTGTCTTCATGTGTGATTTTGAAGCTGCTGTGCTCCTCGTGTGCGGTGTCAGTGTGACTCTGAGCTGCTCTGTCAGATCGTAACCACCAAACATCAGCAACAATACGATAACACCAAATAAAACAGAGCGTCAGGGGCAGAGGAGTGACGGACACAGAGGCACAAGATACAAACTCAAGAAATAGCGAAAACAATGACTAAAAGACGTTATTACTCACCTCTTGTAAAGATGTACATTTAAACGCAGCACCTCATTCATATTATCCACAGAATTTGTCCTCCACAAATAATGACACCCAGTCCACAAAACAGTGCTAATTACTCAATCTGAAGTGTTCTTTAAAAGTAAAAAGGTGAGAGTAGTTCCTCATGTGTCTCTTTACACCCATGCAGTGCACAAATTGGGATGAAGTTGCAGATTACTGATAGTGACTCTATGTTCTGTGTACTTTATCGCACACCTTCAGTGCATTTAAATGTATCTGAAGTATTACACCACTTTTCACAAATAATAATAACTCAGTTTTGACCTGTATCTAAACTCGAAGTACAATGCGCTGATCTATTGAACACTTAAGAGTCTCAAAGTGAGTAGTTTTACTCTAGACAGGAAACAGCTGTCGCAAGCTGCGCTCTTAACTTTATAGCCTGAGTCATGTCCAGTAGCAGTCTTTGCGATCAAAGATTTAAAATCTCATATGATTCTCCTCATGACTATGGTGTGCGCTTTTTGTCACACGTTTAAAAATTGTTTAAGACTGAAAAATACTGTAGTGTGTGGCATCCTTTAGAATAGTTCAAAATGTGTTGTTTTTGTAATTTTCTTTTTTGTTTCTTAAAGGTGGTAACTTTTTGGTTTCGGTCGGTCACCTGCTTGTTTCCCTGGGTATGTCATTGCTCTGCCTGGAATGTTCTACAGTATGACATTAAACAGCTCTACATTACATCTATTCAATTACAGATGGTTTTATAGCTCAAAAATACCAAGAAAAAACTGGCCTTCTGACTCTGAGTGGGGTTGCCTCTCCACAGATCTGACCAGTAACTTGATCTGGTTTGGACTCTGTGATGATAGAAATGTTTGATGCTATACTGAGAAACATTCCAGACAAAGCAATAACATGTCCATGAAAAAAAAACAAACACACACACACACACACATACATTTGACAGACTCTCCACCAGAAAAGTTACACAAAGCACCTTTAACATGACCAGGTGTGTGCCAAAAATGTAGTAAAATTAGGTATGAGTACTATACATGCCCATAAATATAATTTTCTTTCTCAAAATATGTTATTTTACCTAAAATTTCTGCATTGCTTCTTTTTTATTATATGCATTTCAAAATTTGTTCTGAAATGCATGTGATTCTTGTATTAGTTTATCAGTTCATATTTCAGTCTTCTCTGTTGTTGATGCTCCTGGACATGTTTAGAATTTTGATGTTGAGAAATAAATTGGAAATAGAGCTTTTTTCCCCAAAAATTATTCAGCCCTATTATTCACAATCTGGCTCACACACCACACACCAAAATGAGGATTAAATATTGTCACTTGTCCACCCACAAACCAGTGCCACCAGTGGTCAGTGGGGGGTAGTTGAAGTAGGGTCAGCCAAAATACAGTTGAGATCATCTAGTTGAGGGGTAAATGCTTGTTCTATTAACATAAAACCTGTCAACTTGTTGTGAAAATGTCCTTGGTAGCGATAAAAAAGCTATGGCATCCCGAGCTGGTGCATGTTTTCTATACAATGACTAAGACACTTTAACTAGCTGGCTCTCACACCACTGCACATTGTCCTCCTATGGCTCCCCATTAACACACATAGGCAGCTATATATAATGCATGCTCTATTATGGCCTCTCATGCTAAGGGAAGTCCAGCAGTAATTAGAGGTGAACTCTATTTGCTAACGACCTTCAGTTCCAGGACCCTCGGCAGGCTGACAAATGAGGGCTCTCTGTCCCCGCCACGCCGGGGCTCCCACAGGTTAATGGGAATCAGGGGGCTGAGCCAGAGAGCCCTCCACCCAAAGCACAGGTCTTTTGTCTGTCTATGTATATGTGTGTAGATGTGTAGATGTGCGTATGTGCGTATGTGTGTATGTGTGTGCGTGTATATATGTGAGGATATACTGCAGGCTAATGGAAACTCCAGCTGAGCTGAGCCCCTGTGGTGTCTGGGTTTGGCTAACAGGGATTTCACATTGTTCTGAGTGTCACTAATACCTGGCAGCTCTAACAGGAATTAGCATTGCTCGTGGCCAAGCAATACAAAATGAGGCTTACGGTGGTTAGCTCTTTGTTTGTGGTGCTGGAGTGAAGACCTGTTTGTGTTTGTATATCAATCATTAACGAATGTTTCAGGGACTTGGGATGTTAACAATGTTATCACAAAATTATAATCTGGGCTAGCCAGGTAATTATTCTCCACCGTGTGAAGTCTCTGGTTTGGTACAGTTTTAATACAAGCTGAGCTTGATGGTTTTATCTTGATTCTAAGTGACACATACTGAACACTGACATGAGATCTGATAAGGTTTCTTAATTAATTTAGAAAATTGCAAAATCTCAACCAATACATCTTTTGTTCTTTGGTTTAAAACTGATCATACACATGTGCTGTATGTTTTTTATAAAAAATAAAATAAAAATTGCTAGATAATATAAAAATGCATAGACTACTCAAATCTTTTGGGACACTGTACTCATCCTATCTCTGTATGAATGTGTACGACTGATGGTGGTTGAAAGGGCACATGGTGCAGATTCTCAGCCTCATTTCCATCAGTCTGTCTAAAAGGCAGCTGTGGCTACAGAAGTATTTTACTCTCACAAGCTATAAAGTGAATAAAAAAGTGATACGTGTTACACTTTTGGAATTCAATATCTTATTTATCAACTCTATATAAAGCAAATCAGGTCCACTTCATCATTTTACTTAAAAAAAACTCAGATTATATTGTGAAAAATTGAAATGTGCTGATCTATAGTGTCTATTTTTCAGCACCTCCAGTGGATCTGATGTTAACCACACTGACTCTAACTGTCTCCTTTCATATCTCATATTTTCTGTTCACTTCCCAATTTACTGTAAAACATTTTCTCATCTCCGACTTTATTCACTTTTTTACCGTTGCACTGCCTGCCTTCAAATGGCGGCGCTCCCCTCGCCGGGCACACACTTCCATCTTTGGGTAATTATGTCTTGAAAAGAGCTATGGAGGAAGTGGATTGCCTGTGAAAGAGTGAAGAAGAAAGGAGACACTCAAAGGCAGATATAGGAGAGGAGAGGAAGTTAGGAATCCAGGATAGATACTGAGGGCAAAGCCAGTCAGGAAAATTACAGTTTTATTATAAGCTTCCAAAACAAAAGAATAAAACAAATATATAAAAAAGTTAAATCATTTTTATTTTGACATTAATATTACTGCATAAACAGCTCTGGTCGCTTTCATTGCAGTACGCACTTCAGTTTAATTCTCCATCGTCATTTGGAGGAAGAAAGGTGCCATTTGCTTTGGCGACATGTGAGCTCTGACATTTGCCCACACTTAGGTCAACACCTGTCCTCTGCTGCAGCTATTAGTAATAATGAGTTTCATAGTCTAATTTAATTGAAATCTTGAGTGTAACTTAACTAGGCAACAGTTGAACAGCAGATTAACTCTAATTTAAATACTCCAGAGAACTATACTATATGATTAACAATACTGTAAATTATATGGATTTAAATACATTTGTAGTCAAAATATAACCAGTAAACTATGATTTATTAATAAAATAGAAGGGCTTTAATGGTTCACACAGCCCCATACACCACTATACAGTTAAGACTAAACTGGGATTGAAGACTACATCAAGCCTAGATCAAAACTATCTAAACCAGGTCTAGTAAAGAACCAAACCAAGCCCACATCAGCTATTACAACTACTACAACTACTACAACTACAATTATATTTTGCAATAACATGGATTCTAGGTACATGGGAAATTAAAAAGTTGAGTCCAAGTTAGGGTTTGAATATTTGCTGTGTGAAATAGTTTAGCAGAACAATTAAAACTGCATCACACGAGCAGGAGTTGCACAAAGGTACAATATCAACACCTTGTAGACACACTGCTGTACAGATTACCTTATTACATTCTCAGTTTTGCCAATTATAGCTAGTTAATGCTCTGATGGGGAACAAATGTAAAAAGTCTGTGTCTAATCTCTCATTAACATTTCAAACTAAGAAATAAGAAATAAACTGGCTATAAAATACTACTGGATCAGATGAGGTTGTACTGAAATATGACAAAAGAAAGCAATTACAACGTCCTTTGAATGATTAAAGGCAATAACAAGCAAAGAGTATTATGTCTCTTCTTATGAAGGCTGCACATTCTCCGTACTCTGGTATGGTGCATAGTAATTGCTGCTGTGTCATCCTCCACCAGAGAATTGTAAAAATTTTAATTACTATTATGCCGTATCATTAGCTGGCAATATTGTCCAGAGATGCTCAGGCTTTCATGTGAAATGAGTCCCACAACGCAGAGAAACAGCTCTTTCTCCCTGGCATTTACCGCACCGAACAGGCATGAAATAAAAGCTGCTCTGACGCCAGTATGGGAGTACACTTAATGGTCTCGACATGAAGTAAACTTGTTTATTTTAACACAAGCTGACACAAACCAATCTTCATTCTGGACACAGTGTGGGGGTTTACTCAGACAGTGTTCACATTTGCGTAATCATCACATCAAAATGGGGCTAAATCTGAGGCTAAATCTGTACTCGACCAGGACTAGAACAGGACGAAACAAGGATTAAATCAAGACTAACCAGGACTAAACCAAATCTGCCTTAGGACTTTATGGCAAAGAAATGATTGGCAATAATTAATGTAAATAAATATATAGTAGTAAGTAGAACAGTCCATTGATGGAAAAATTTAAGCACAGTCCCCATGCTGCCACTTTATACTGTCATTGTGTTGTTGAGCAAGACACTTCACACATTCACAGATTTGGTCCTAGTTTGAGCCCAGTTTAGTCATGATGCACTTGCACACTGCTAGCTCGATTATTTGCTCCACACCAGGCAATAAAATTATTATTACGTAGCATCTGCAATATATGTACATCTGCAAACAAACCAAAATTGGTCTGACTGAGGTATGTTCAAGGTTCTTTGCACAGCGGGTTTAACTGCACATGGCTCGGGGATGCTGAGGCTCTCCCGCACGCCAAACCTCTGGAAGCGAGGCCAAGATGCACCGTCTCGCCCAGTGGCCTTCCCACGGAGCCTCTCCACAGGGTACGGATGGCACGGGCAGGGGTTCCTATCCCCTCCCCCGGCGTGGAAGTTGGCCTCTGGCAGACATGGTTCTCAAACCCTGCCTAAGAGTCTCCCTGGCCCAGGCAGCTTGGACTCGCAAACCTACAGGCAGCCAGAGGCGAGGCAGGCATCCGAACCCAACCCGAGCCCCTGTCACTCCATTTAACTGGGGAACGGGGGCGTGCCGGCCGGTGAGCACACAGGGCTACCTGTTTGATCCTGTCAGTAGCATATGCTTGTCTCAAACCACCAACACCCTTAGGGTGGTTTCACACCATCAGCAGTTGGTGCACACCACATATTCGAATCAGAAGCTCTTAGTTTGGTTTGCTTTTGATAGTCTGAAAGCATCAATCGCACTCTGATCCACACTAAATCAAGCAGACTGAAACCTCAAAAAAGAGGTGGTCTCGGGCTGGCAGGGACCCGGCAGGTCCCCGCGACCTGGTTAAGGGGTATGACTGGATGCCTGCCTCTTGGCTCATTGGTCTGTTATTAATGTTCATATCTTAATTTATGGATAAAAAAGAAAAACACCAGGATTACATAGAGCAGATTAATACAGCCATTTTAAGACCAAAATAACGAGGCCCACTACAGCAGTTACAGAGAGAGGAGGGCCAAGAATTTTTAAACTATGTCCATGCATATATACAGTCTGTTTACTCGTGGTTTGGTCCGGGTTTAGTATTTCAGTGGTTGTCCTTTTAATCAACTTTGAACAGTTGTGGTATCAGCGGCACATAGGACAACACAGCATGTCCAAATGTAGAGGAGGAGCTGTGCCAAATGACCAAATGTTCCTCTTGCTTAAGGCTATGAAAAACAAGATGCAAAACTTTCTACATACTCTCTTTGTAATGCCTTTAAAGACATCTATACTGGACAGAAGTAACATGCAGTCATTCAAACTGAAACATAAAGGGAAAGTTTCACTTAGGCAAATAAATCTATAAGGATATGGACTCATTTGAATAACGCGGCCACATTTGAAAATAATTAATTCCCTGCTGGGCCCTTCCTGGTCTCATTAATGGACAATGTGTGTGTGCGGAGCTCAAAGACGAGTCTGTGTGTGCCCATCACAGAGGCATCTTTGTGTGGAGCAGGCTGCACTGGAGCTCAGACTGGGCCTGATTGATGGAGCTGCAGTGCTGCTGCAGAGGCTGGGGCCCATCAGTAAAGCACAGGGCAAGAGACACACACACCCAGAGAGAGGCTGACACAGATAGAGACAGGAGACACACACACACACACACACACACATACACACACACATACACATATAGAGGAAGAGAGAGACAGGGAGAGAGAGAGAGACAGGAGAGAGAGAAAGACAGGAAAGAGGGCAATAGACAGAGAAAGAGCAAGACAAAGAGGGAGAAAGAGAGAAACACGAGAGGGGAAAGAGAGAGGCACACAAGAGCAAGACAGGGAGAGAGAGAGAGAGAGAGAGAGAGAGGGACAAAGAGAGAGGGAGAAAGAGAGGAAAGAGGGCAATAGACATATGGAGAAAGAGAGTGAGAGACATACACAGAGAAAGAGCAAGACAAAGAGGGAGAAAGAGAGAAAGAGAGAGGGGAAAGACAGAGGCACACACGAGACACACACACACACAGAGAGAGAGAGAGAGAGAGAGAGAGAGAGAGAGAGAGAGAGAGAGAAAGAGAGAGAGAGAGAAAGTAGTAGTAGTAGAGACACAAGGAGAAGAAGCGGTAGAGACGCAACAAGAGAAAGAGGGACACATAAAGAGACAGATAGAAAGAAACAGAGAGGGACAGGAGAGAGAGAGAGGAAGAGAGAAAGTAATAAAAACAGGAGAGCGAGATGGGGAAGCAGAGAGAGACAAAGAGCCTGAGAAATACACAGCGTGAGGATGCACTCAGACTGTACCTCTGTCAATAGTAAACAGTTTTGGTTAGGCTTGTAATTTGTAATACAGGAAGAGCAAAGTTTTATGATCATGTTTTAAATATTTTAAAATGGAAGAAGGGCATCACAGGTACTGAAATTAAGTTTTTTTCCAGCTACATATATTGTCATATCGTGGTACTTTCCAGGCAAAGAAATACTGTACATCTCCATGAGACGAAAAGGTGCAAAACATTTTAACTACCAGTTTTACTAATATGTAAAAATCTAAAAGTAAAAGATTGTGCAACTGGAGTCACAAAGCAACAGTCAAGCTGTGATTCTCATTTCTGTGGAGACATTGTTTACATTGTTCCATGTTAGGCAGCTGTTTTTATAATTATGTGCTTGTATCAAATTTAACTTGAAATATGTCTTCACCACATCTCAACAGGAGACAACACAAACAAACTGTAAATCAAATCATAATGTTTCTATCAGGAGCTACACTTTATGAATGACTATGAGCCACATGTGTCTGCTGCTGCTGGACTCATATAGCAAAGAGTCAGTGGTTGCACTAGACATAGTGAATAACCTACTGAGAAGAGAAAGAGCTACTGTATATTAAACATTCATTCTGAGTGCTGCAGTACATCGCCACTTCTAGGTTATAAAGCCTCATTTCATCCTCCCCTCCTTCAATGTTAATCACCCTGAACTCAAGTACGCAGCTAACGTTCTTAACAATAATCAAACTAACTACTTAATGAGTTACAAATGATAAAAATGCTTAAGGCAAATTCAAACCTGATGCACTTTTGATGCACTGACAGCTGGTTGTTTCCCATTTTTCTTAAGCGTAAATTTAATTCCCCAAATCTGCCTATCTACGCTGGCATAGCTGTATAATGATAAGCATCCTATTATAAATCCCTACAGGCTGGAGCGCTCGGAAACGTGCACGTCAGCTCCTTTGGAAAATCATAACAATGACTTATCTCTTTGGGAAT